ATGATAAATTACATATACGATTAGCAAGCATACTTAATAATAATAATTTAATAAAATACATATTTTCCTACCTGTGTAGAACACACCAAGTGTACAGGCATGGATAAGTATTATTTAAATGATATAAATTTGGTTGATGGTTAAATTACATGGTTGCTGACGTTTTTGTCTTTGATTTATGGGAACAATATGATATCTAGTCTTTCAATGGAGGACATCAAGAAATATAGAAATATTGTCTTCGCATTAACAAAAAAACCCCACTATGTTTTGGATGGATTACATATACTTGGGAAAAAATAAAGCTTGAAGTGATAACCCAATATAACTTAGGTGTCTACAAAACCGAATCTTATTCTTGATTTATGTCCAAATTCGGTAATAATTAAAATAAGTGATACACTTGCATAATTTTGTCAGCATTCTCATTGTAACATCACGAGTTAATTGTACCTAATGTAGAATAATAATAATGATAGCATATATTTTCTTGTAAACGGGTGTTTCAAGAAATGAAAGCTATTTTTACAGATAAGATCAGTTATGTTATAAGTTACAATCATGAAGTTGCATTATATATTAATACTTTTTCATTGGTTTAAGAGTATATTCCACAACTGTAATCCAGGTTGCGTTTTTGCGTTGCTGCAGAAACTCATTCAACAGGCCTAACTAAATTGTTGCTAAGATGAGTTCAGCATAGAAATATTCATTATTAGGCATCCATTACCTAAAGTTCTTAAAGGCAGAATCCCCTTCATTCCATGGTCAGAATATTTCTCATTTTTTAGGATATTGGTTTTCTTGATGAGACAGACTTGCAAGTATTATTGTCTTGAACTTAAATTCTGTGAGAATTCTGTTAGAATTAATGGCATAGATATGCAAGCGCAGTTTGAAACCTCTATACACAAACCGAAGATCTGTCAACTTCATCAGTTGAGTCAGTTGAGAGGAATGAATTTATCCATCCGCGATTTTAATTTGCAAATCTCGAAAAATACTCATTAGGTAACTCGAAAGAAAACAAGAAGTTCAACTGTGCCATTTTAACTTATATGCACAGGTTAACATAGTCACCATTGTTATTATTCATTTTGGCAGAGTACTAAAGCTGAGATTGAAAACAGACCATTGTAATAATTCTGAACTTGATTTGAAAGTTATTAGTTGTGATCTATAAATATAAATCACAAAGGGGTACGGAAACCAAGATTACGATAACATGGTATGAAGTAAAATGCAATATTACGAAGTCGCTCAGAAGATAGAATTATAAATAAACAGTATTTCACGGAATCTACATAATGGATCATAGGGATTATTCCAAATACGGTTGCAGCGAGGTAAGCAATATTTGAACAGCCTAGCAAAATACCATTAACCAGTATTCGGAAATACTTGTGAAAGATGTAAAATAAATTCTGTCGAGAATAGACGTCATCAGTATGTCCTCAGAAGCACTTCGATATAACTTAAGATAATGAACTACAGAACGAGAGAAGAAGATCAAGCTAAAAAGGAACCAGACAACACTAGATAACTTCGCCAAGCCTACTAGTTCACTAGTTTTCTAGACAGTACCAAACCAAGGATAAGAGGTGAGGTTTGGCATTAGGTTTGCCACCCTACTACTCAAAGTCAACCAAGTGGCTACGGAAGCCTCAAAGTACACAAAAATATTAAAACAAACTTATTCATCGCCGGAATCGGAGAGAATGAATAATGCAATCTGTTGAAAGTCTTCAGCAAATCGACGTGTTTTCATTCGATGAGGATGAAGATGTTGAATGTTCGTACAGTGTGTGGAGCTGCAAGGGCTGCTCAGGTTTCCAAAACACGAGGGGATATGACGTAGAAGCGTAGTAATCTGCGAAAGCATGTGGAGTGGATGAGGAGTATAAACATTATCAATAAGTGACTCAAACAACAATCTGAAACACATTGAGGGAGTGGCTATCATGATGTTGCCAACAACAGCCAAAGTCCTGATATTGTGGAAACCAATCTTCTACAGGATTATGGTAGCAACATTCAACGCAAAGGGAAGGACTGCTACATTTATCAAATGCTATGCATCATATTACAAACAACATGGAACAAAAGAAGAAAGAAATTTATGCAGACAACTGCAAACAGTAATGCACAACACCCTGAAAGGAGACATTGTAATCCTTGTGGACGATATGAATGCCATACTGGCAGCAAGTGATATACGAAAAACACTTATCATGGGTGGAGAAATGAGTGAGAACGGAGAATTATTTGCGAACCTTTACGCCATCAGTGATTTGGTCATTGGAGGCAGCGTGTAAAAGCAGAAGGGTAGACACAAAGAAACAGATTTCACATGACAAACATAGTAAAAACCAGGCAGATTTCATCTCAGTAGTGGACAAGAATGTGAAGACGCAGCTAGCCTGAAGGACACAAAGTCAAGAAGGGGAGCACATATGGGCTCGGACCATCATCTAGTTCAAGGAACCTGGTGAAAGAGAAGATAACTCAATTCAAAGATGAACAAGAGAAGGAGAAGCTGAGTTCAATTTACAATGCACTGAGTAAAGAAGTGAAGAATAGTGCTATGAAAGACAAAGGACAATTCTACGACACACTGGCTAGCAAATGAAGCCGAACAAGCAGGCCACAGGTAAAGGAGAGTTGAGAGCTTTAGATCAGATAACCAAGTCTCTTTCAGATAAGATATGAAACCACATGATGCTCGAGGAAACCAGTTCATCAAGGATAAGAAACAAATAAAACAATGGGCTGATCACTTTGAAGAACTCTTAGATTGAACATCACCTGAAACTCACCCAGAAATACCACCAACAGAACGCACAGAACTGCTTGCCAGTGGACAGCAATTTTACAACAAAGGCAGAAGGATTGAATGCAGTCAAGTTACCGAAAGCGAGGGAAAACAGGAGTAAATTGAAGACCTTCTGAAACAGTGAAGTCGAATCTGGATACCGCAACAGAAATGCCAAAGACCTTATTGTAAAACGTTGGAAGGAAGAAAAGGTGCACACTGAATAGAAGAAAGACTAACTTGTCAATCTAGCAAAGAAGTGCGAATGACGCCCTAGCAAAAGCTGACACGGAATAATCTCCTTGTCTGCATCCAGCAAATTGCTGTGCTGGAACACGCTGAATTGACGGAAAGATACTGTGGATACAACTTCCTCCCCCTAGGAACTATCTGGATTCAGGAAAAGCAAAACGTCGAACCATAGTTGAGCACAGTATAGAATGGCAGTCAAATATTTGCCTCAACTTCATCAAATTTGGAAAAGCCTTTGACATCACTGACAGCGAAATTATTATGAAAACAGTATAGCACTATTGAACAGAGTGTTCAAATGACAGTGTCTCATGTCAGCCGATTCACGACGAAAACCTACTGAAGCCTTTGAAGTGAAAACAAGAGTGAGACGAAGCTGCCTACTATCACCCTTGAAATTCCTAACTGTGGTGAACCGGAATATGCAGTAGACAGGAATATGTCGCACTAATCACAACATTCTAGAAGATCTTCGCTTATCATTTGTTTCTAACGTCACATAAGTTCAATTACCTACAGGTGAAAACTAACAAGGCGGTAGGAGAGCAGAAAAGACAAGACTCCGAGTGAACATATAGAAGAGGGAGGTGATGAGGAAAACCAACAATATCTGCACCAACAATAACAACAAGCATCAGTCACAATCAGTGGGAGATATTTGTACGCCGTCACTTCCTACAGCTATCTAGCTGTGAAGCTTCGTTTCAACTACTGACGACAGAACGGATGAAAATGATAAAACCAGGATTGGCAAGACGAGGCGAACACTCATCAGCCAAAAATGTGTGTCTAAATCTACTCCACTCAGCATGAGGAATAGTATTTTTAGGCCAATCACTTCTTCTAAATGGTTCAGATACTTGATCTCTCAGGAAAATCATTTACCACAGGCCACTGCAGATATTCATCATTAGCTAACTTCTCTGGCTCAATACTGATGATCAGATGGCCAGCCAGAAAGAATCAACAGTAGGAAACCCTGAAAACGAACCAACTCAGAACCTCTTCGTCAGCAAATATGTGGAAGGAAATAAATGCGGATCAGGGACAAACTGAGGAGACCGCTGGTTGACATCTGGCGGTGAGCGATCCAGGCCATCCACCCGAAACGATGAGTTGTACGTGAATCCAAGAGTGATATGGAGCAGACTTTATGAGTAGATTACAGTTAGTGAGCAATCATGAGGCTAGCTGAGGAGGCCTTAAGAGAACACGATGAAATGGAGATGAGCTACTGAGGTCCTATGTTCCACTCGGAATAATAATGAACAACACTAGATTCATAGGTTACAGGATTTCATCATGAGCTGACATTGGTTAGAGAACCATTGGAAAACCTGAGAGTACTGGACAGCTGTTTCGTCCTAGTTTGGGACTCTTCAGCAGTACGCACCCACCCAATCTCAGCTCATGATGAAATCCCCTGACCAATCAACCAAATCCCTACAAACCAGTACTTGAATACTAGATTCATAGTAAATACAAAACATGAACTAGCCCAACTGGAACACACAGCTCTGACTTCCAAATGCATAAAGCGAGCGATTTTGCAGTTCGAAGAAGTTAGGAATACACTGTCTCTGGTAGATTGCTGTTTGCTTTGTAAATGACGCTGAATAATAAGTCAGTTGACATATAATGGCACATGCTGACGAGACGTTCAATTATAGCGCTTCTGTCCGAACCACTGCCGCCTCTTTTCAGCCACGCTAGATTTTGTTCTGTAACATCTTTTGAAAAGAAACACATAGAACCACCTATATACATTTATGAAAACAGAAGCTGCTTAAACGATACTGACGCATTTTAATTACACATAAGCTTTTTAGGTTCACAAGCAGATTCTCCACAATATAAATGAATTCAAATATACTCAACATATCTTCCACAAAATCTTTTGACTAAAACAGTAAAACATATATATACTTTATTTCAGATACTTACGATTAAAAATATTACTGCCGGAAGTTTATTTCAACCAGGTGTCTGGCGAAGGATTACATTCAATCTTCAAGTCCCTATTGCTTCATATTTGCCCAATTCATCTATTATCATCGGTGGTGCTAATGACAGTGTTGAAATGGAATCAGCATTTACTGTAAACGATGTGTACTTGACATTTGGATCTAATTTGGCAGCATTACGTAATGTTCAACCTAAATATGTATACACATCAACATACAAATATGGACAGCAAGATAAATTAGAAGTGATATTGGGAAATGTTATTAACCCAGGTAAGAAATACCTTTAAGTTAATAATTCAGTAGCTTAGAATAATGCTTTGAAAGGTGACGATGATTAGTAGGTGAATCCAGAATGCATATTTCAATCTATTTGGGACTTATCAGCTTGAAGTACCCTTGTATTCACAGTAAAGGATAGTATTCCTGTTCAGTTGATGAATCCCAGATAGGGCCAAAAATGACTCCAGTGCTAATCACCATCAATCATAAATTACTTCACGTTAATCCTTAGGCATCCTTGAAGCGTTCGTACAAGGAGCTAGCAGGTGAGAAAACTGAAATGTAACTACAGTTTTTTAAGAAAACAATGAATGAATAAAATGTATTGAGGAGTGGAAAGCACAGAGTAGGCAAAATGAATGTAATTAAATCTGCTTCGACTGAATTTAATTTCCTTCATAAGTTGCGTATAGATGAATTCTAGTTATATGACTTGTTTAATTCCTGATATTAGCGGTAAGGTATTCAACACAAGCTGATTTAATTAGTAGGATCACAATTTTAATTCATAATACTTTACCACTATAATAAAATCCCAGGTGTACTGCTAGTCGGTTAGTAATCCAACTTTCACTACAACTTCTCTAAATGAAACCAGTTAGTGATCAATTTTCAATTCCCTGAAATCGAATACTTAAAATTATTCTGGTGCTCACTGGTGATTGACTATACGATGAAGTTGCCCGATGTTCTAGTGAAATGTCGTGACCAGAGGAGTAGGCCTAGTTAGATATGTGGAAAAATACCCGCAATGACTGAAGACAACATGCATTTGCAGATATTAGAATTCATGGATTCAGTCTCTAATAGGACGATGAGTAAGAAATTCTGAATATTCAAGTGTTAGTTTGCAAGGATGTGACTGGTTTCAGGATCTCATCATGAGCTGACATCGGCTAGAGAACCATTAGAAACCCTGAGAGTACTGGAGAGCTGTTTCATCCTAGTTTGGAACTCTTCAAACGCACGCACCCACCGTCAGGGTTCAAACTCAGCACTTTTCAGTTACAAGGCTAGCGAGCTCTTAAGCAAGTAAGCCACTAAGACTCAATCCAGTAGCCCATGAATTTCAACTCCCGCCAACTTATTATGTGGCGTGATCACTAGCCAATGTCATCGCTGGCGAGTGTTTGTCCTCACGCCCGATCTGCTGTGGCCCACTTGTCATCCAGGTAACTAACTGTCTCAATAGGGACAGTCATTTCTAGGGCCTGACGCCCACTAACGACTGCCCTATTGAGATAGTTAGTTACATGGGCTACCAGTGGGGCACGGTAGATTGGGCGTGAGAATAAGCACTCACCAGCGATGACACTGGCTAGTGGTAACACTACATCGTGAATTGGCAGAAATTAAAATTCATTGGCCATTGGATTGGGTCCTAGTGACCTTTTCGGTCTGCGTGATCGCTACCTAGTATTCGACATATTTATTAGATGAGCTCTAGGCTGGTTTCCTATTAAAATTTCTGTTTTTTTATCCCTTTCAGCCATCCCTCTGTTATTCAGTATCAAGAAAACTCAGGTATCGATGTATCAACTAAACCTTTTGGAAACACTTTGTATAACCCACTTACGAAGTCCTTGACTATATAGATGCACCATCTGACCTGATATATGCATTAAACATTAGGCCACTAAATGATGATAGATGTAAATAGCAGTATAAAATGAAAGATCTCAGTTATTTGAATACTTTCATTTCAAAAGTTCTAAAGTTGAAAAAAATAAAACGAAAACGGACCGATAGAATTTATGCTTAGAATGATGCTCTTACGCTTTCTGTATATATTTCGCTACGTCCTCACTGTTTGTTTACTTTGTGTAAGATTCTGGGTGATGACTCATATGAGACGCTATGGAATGTGTTGACGAGGTGCTCAGGTTGATCTAATGATGCCTGTTTACTGTTACGGGCCGATATATACACGTCGGAGTGGTCATATACTGGAGTCTGTTCTTCACGTTGCTTAGAATAGTCATCTTTCAATTAAATTCACAAAGGAATTCTAAAAGGAATCAAATATTTTTATCACTTCAAATTCCGACGAACAGTATCTCGGTTATAAAACAAACTTATCTAAGTATTTGCATTGATTGAATTGTTCTTGACCAAATTAAACTAATTTGATCCGATGTCAAATCTAATTTGCATGAAACCAAAATCATCACACGATGAGAACTATTCATAGAAAAAAATGTGATGCTTTAAAATCGTCCACAAGCTTATGTTTGAAGGCATCTTCGTTGTGTATTATGTTATTGGTATTATTCACTTGGGTTACAAGTTAAACATAGAACTTTAACAGCACCTCAACATTTCATCATTTTACTTTCGGACACCTAAGCTGTCGTCTCCCGTCCGGGTTCCATTCAGTGGCTTGTTATGTGATGTAAAAATCATTAGCTCTTCAGTTAGCATTTTGGAGATTCCATATCCATTCCACCTGCTCTCACAGATTACTGCCAATTCTGTTCAATTTTCTCTGACATCTTAGTCAACAATAAGCAGGATTCCCAGCTTTGGACATTTTGAAGATACTTCACGTCCCCATCATATCATTGAACGAAGACACATGCACAAACTGACTGGTTCCTCGAAGGCTTTCACCAGTCTGCTTCACTCCGTCTCGCCTGTTCCAGCCAAGGATACTCTGCATTTTTTTAAAATTTTCGTCGTGTTTTGAAGTTTCTGTAGTCATTGTATTTATTTTCGAGGGTAGGACCGCTAGCCCTACGTCTAATCCTCCCTATTTGAAGAACTAGATAACCAGGTGAGGTTTTTAGCCCTTGTTATTAGTTGAAAATATCGCTACTGAACACGTATTTATTGAATCTGTAGAAATAAGGGATTTATCATATATTTCACTTAACTTTTAGGCTTCAATTTACAACCTGATTCATCTACATTACCGGAAAATGACATCAGTGTTAATGTGTCAATACGCTTGGCTGATACCAAATTTAGCTCAAATGGATCAGTGATCAATCTTCCTATTTCTGCTCAATTCGGTAGCGTTAAAGCTGTTTCACAAATTGGAGGTATAGTTTCTAGAGATGGTAAAGAGACGCTAAATTTAGTAATGGACTTCGTAAATTCCGATTCGGGTATGACTGGTATGACATATCTTCCGAAGTAAGTGTATTAATATTTAGTTAGTGTATTTTTGATTTGACCTTAGTCAATAACTAGTGCAATGTGTCTAGTCTTTTTTTTACTGCAGAGTGAATTCGACCAGTCAGGTTTGCAATGTGGCCACCAGGCTAGTTGCCTTGCCATCACAGTGCACTGTGAATTAATGGTATTAGATGGTTAGAGGCATTCAGAAGGAAGCCTTGGACTTAGATTTCGTGCTTGTTGGCACTCAAAGATTAGCAAGGCGTATCTGCAACCTTGAGGGAACTTAAATCCCTTCTGAAATACGAACCTGCGTCACAAGGCTTCCTGCAGATTACCTCAAGCCATCTAATACCAACGATAAAGTTAATAAAATTAATGGATGTATTGTTATCTAAATATTATTTTGTTCGAATAACTTCATGACTAAATGTTATCAGTATATCACTGATACATATGGTCTTCAATCAATTTATCGAAAGGACAACACTTGCATTTTAATAGCTTTTGTTCAAATAGCTTTAAACGTGGTCTAGTCAAGACTCTCTACTAAAGAGCGAGGAGAATAAGCTCTATAGAGAAATTAGAGGAAGAATTTGAGTTCCTTGAAAAGATATTGAAGAGCGATGGGTACCCTCTAAGGTTCATCAACAATTATGGAAGATCTGAAGTCACAAACTTAAAACAAATCACAGTGGGAAAAAAGCCAATCTACTTTCAGCTTGATTATAAGGTGAAAACATTGCAGCGATGATCAAAAGAAGGCTGAGTACATCACTAGCCATAGCCTATCCTGCAGCTAAGCTCGTTCCCGTCTATCGAACAACTTGCTCTTTGGTGCAAGCAAAAATCGATAGATACCCTTCTCATGCTCACTCCAACTGTATATACAAATTTACACGTATCTGATGGAGCAGTTACATTGGAAGGACAGAAAGAAGGGTATATCTACGATTTTCTGAACACGTACCAAAAACGCTTACGTCTAAAGGGAACAAATGCCTTAAACAGTGCCATCGCTCGGCATCTCCTCGACACGGGTCATGAGGTGGACGTCGAAAAGTCATTCAAAATTATCAATAGACAAAAGAGTTCAATTCTCCTCAAGTTTGCTGAAGCCATTTCCATCAAGCGCCTGAAACCTGAGTTATGCGTCCAGAAAGAAACGGTTATCAGTCTTTCTTTGCCCTGGTAACTGGATATTTTTCATCTCTCTTTCATCCGAATGCGAAATGCTAAAGTTTCCATTGTGTATGATTATTATTGCCCGGAATAGTGTTTAATATTGCATATTTATATATGTATATATTTTTAGTGTATGAGTATATTGACCGATTGATTTTTGTTTAAAATGAACTCTGTGCAAGTATGTCAAAATTGTTTTTGTATATATACCTAATAATGTCTTTGCCCTGTAAGCAGCTGACGAGAAGGCAACGAAATAAACACTGATGGTACCACTTTATTCTGCTGAAACTGTAGTTCTTGCTTTGTTCAAATTCATTAACGGGAAATCAGAGTAGTCCTTATAGATCCATCATGACCTTTCTGAAGCCAAGTAGGATAATATCCTTTGACTATTACACATAAAAATACATTGGACAGCCTGTATATCTCGATTCAAAGGAGCAATTGAATTGATGCATAAATACGTATATGTTTGTATATATATGTATAACATCCTCGGCTTAGAGATGTAGTTCCATTGGTTGGTTTTGAGTTTTATCTGATTAACTATGAGGCCTACGAATGCACATTTAATTCGCTTCACTATGAAATACACCTAAAGCAATTAATTTCTTGGTTAATGCATCTGTCTAAAAAGCACTCGCTTTTGATGCTCTGTAATTTGTTAGACAGTGAGTATACTTGACTATTTATTGTATTATATGTGGAACGTCTCTCAGAAATAATTGTCAAAAGTAAACTTCATTGCATAAGAAACTTTAAAAAGGTAGTTAATACAATAGTGTCAGTCAATTCTTATAATAACACTAGTTCCATCAACATATCTTCCAAGAAAGTACCTATTTGTTTAGTAAACATAACAATCGCTTATTCGTTTTATTTTTCTACATAGAAATTTGCTAATAAGTTAGCCATTTGTAAAATATTCACAATTCGAGGGCCCAGATATCACCGTAATTCCTTTCCAGACAAAACTATTCGGATTATGTTATGATATGTTCTTGATACTAAAATGGTAATCATGAAAGCAGGTGCATTCACACGAAAATACACAATACTTATGGGTTGAGATCAGTATTTGTATGCCACTCATGTCAACCAGTAGTGCTTACCAACAAACCAGACTGAGGTGATATAACACCGGACAGCCATTTAATTCTTTTGGAGTCAAGGACATATAAGTGGTATACAAATGATCTAAATAATTTCAGTCCCCAAGGGAAACTGTTGTGAAGTAATCACCTCGAACTATGCAAAATGAGAACTAATTAGCTATTTGAGAATCTGACTCATGGTGTTACTAGTTTGTTAGCGTAGCCAGCCTGAAATGGGGTGATATGAACTTATTTGGCATTCCAAGCCACATCAAACCGGTAGACTAGCCTTGAACAAGGAAAGAGGACATCCGGTGTGTTAAATCACCTTGATCTGGCTTGTTGGCAAGCACTTCTAGTTGATATGAGTGGTATACAGCTACTTATATCAGCCAATCAGTAGTATATGGTTTCACACATCCAGTTTCTATGAATATTTATCGCAAATTAGTTTATATGTTGGTAACTACCTTTATCCTCTCCACTAGCGACCTTCTGTGCAGCTTGGCTATTTAATTCTTACATTCTACATAAAACTGTTCATCGATTTTCACCCTTAAGTTAAATGCGATGGACACAGATATTCACTTTTCGTTTGACGAGTCTCAATACTTTACTTTTTCATTCTTTTTTTACTCACATTATTTTCAGGATATCATAAATCTCACAGTTGGGATCCGTATGCTAAACACTTCAAAAATGGAATGTTCAAAACAACTTTTAAATATTTATCATAGTACGGCTGTCAAGTCAGCCGAGATTTCTTATTTTCTTCCAGCAGATTCTCTTCAGTTTAAACCCAATGCAACTTTAATAGGCGCAGGATTTACACGTTTCGAAGTAAGCATGCGATTGGCCTTTAATGTGTGTTAGCTTGTATACGAACCCTAATTTAAGGAGATTGATTTCAAGTTACGTCAACAACTGGTGTCATTTAGATAATCACTGAAAACTATGGAGTATCGACTTGGAACAGAAGAAAATTATAATATATAATAACAATACTGGACAGCTATTTTATCTTAGCTTGCGACACTTAAGCACTGCATACCCGTGATCCCACCTGCCACCGAACCCAAAACCTTCACGTTACCACCTCGCAGATCTTTCAGTCACTGAGAAGAACTCCGACGGCCAATGAATTTAAGTTTTTATCATATGTTCGATACGCGGAGGCATTGTGGGTGTGTACGGCTGCAGGGTCACAATCTAAGATAAACTAGCTGTCCGTCATTATTATTATATATTATAATTCTCTTCTGTTCGAAGTCGAATGTCATATTTCAACAGAACATCTCCAGTTCATACTGTTCAATGCAGTCTGCTTCACCTAGCCCCACAATTGCCCGAAGGCCTTCACCTTCTCTTAACACGATCTCTTCTGTGTCACCATCGCAACCTCGCCCAACTCGTCGTTCGCCATTTGGATTCCACCCGAGAGTCTGCACTGCGTCTAACGGTCTTTTCTGTGTGTGTCCAATCCACATCCATTTTATTCGGAATAACTGTTAGGCGATAGGTTCTTGGTTGGTTCGTTCCCAGAGTTTCCTGTTGCTGGTTCTTTCTAGCTCGCCAGTTGATCTTCATATGGAGCCAACAAGGCAGACGCTGATAAACGTCTGTAGACTGTTGTGCTCGGAATGCTCCAAGTCTCTGACCAAACACTGGTATTAAAAATCCGAATCTTTTTGTTTATGCTGATTCCAGCAGATTTCCACATTGATTTCAGCGTGTTACAGACTTGCATTGCCATTCCTATGTTGGATGGTTTTAACATCCCTATAGGTGCTGTCATCTGTAGATGACAAAATGCTGCATTTTTGTTATTTTTTTATTAGCTTCATTCCACACCGTGTTCTTGGTACAGGTATGGAATTTTCAGCATGTGATATTGGTAGCCCAAATTTTGCAGGCCGACCATTGATATTATGTTTACGTCGGCAGGGGATCGAACCCCGGCAAGATAATTGAAGGTGTTGACCTCTTTTAGATTTCTGCCATCGGCAGTGACTGATGCTTGTTGTTGATGGTGGTTGATTGTTTTCATCACCTCCATCATCCTAAGTCGACGTGAAGTTCTACCTTTGCTATTCACTAATCCTGGCTCTTCAGCTGCATTCTAACTAATATAAGTTTGCCGTCAAACTGAAATAAATAAAATCCCTTCAAACCAACAGTTGATGGATAGATTGATCAGTATGTATATGCTCATCATGATGGAGTAATCACTTTAAGTTTCAGCTGAGTTAATCTTATTCATCTTGGTTTTTCATACAGCAGTCTATGTAAACATAATGAACACAGTGTACAGACGTTGTTGACTAACTTTGTAACGAATAATATCAGACAATAGGAAAGAAATTAGCGGACTAAAAGATGGAGAAAACGGTGAATGATAGAAAGAAAAGCTTGAACAGATAAAATATACTGATCCAAGAAGCTACTGATCAACAAATATGCCGAAGAAAGCAGGTATAGATCGGACTCGCACTCAGGAGACCGTTGGGTGACATCACGTGCCAGGTTATCAACCGAGTGGGAAACTATTGATGAACTAGGTTCAGGTCAAAGGGTGAAATAGAGAAGAATGTGTAAGGAGGAGATGAAAACTTATGAGAAGTTGTGGAGAATTCTAAAAGAAGACTGAAGAGAAGACAATGAAATGTGGCAGTTCTGGTGAAACCCTACGTTCCACCAGAAACTAGAAGGAATAATAATAATGATTAAACTGAACCAAAGGTGGTTGAAAATGGCCCAAGCTTAATCAGACTTTGCATAAAATTCTCACCAATCAATCGATTTGCTGCAATCGCAGTTATTTTGAAATCAAATACACTTAAATTTTTCAGAAAACGTTGATAGACGTATATTCGCCACGATAATTATGATGAATGCTTTCAGCCTGGTATTGTGTTTACTATGAGCAAACGCAATTAAAACGCATGTCATTTATATCTTGAGTGGCTTCTAGCTCAAGCTATTAGAAAAAATAGTAAGCTCGATTTCGCCAGTTTATTTGCGCAGTTGTCTTAACATAAGTGTTTAAGTTTAACTTAGAGTTAATTAAGATGTTGGCATCGGTTGTTCAGCGGTAGCGCACTTGCCAAATAACAAAATGCCCGAGGTCCGATTGCTTACCGGTCTACGCCTGAACTTTATCTAATTCACCAGCCAAACGTCCTTTAAATAGGAAAGCTTAGGCATGGGTTAAGTAGCCTCACTCTGTGAAAGCAACACAAATAGTGCTTGAAATTTATGACCCCATTTTTCACTATGAACAGAGGGATGAAAAAAGAAAAGAGTACAACAGGAATCTTATCATCCTTGTTGCCGACGTAGAGCATTAATATCCCACATGTTTTTTCATAGTATTCACAGTTATATATTATTATAACTTTGCATTCCAAGCAAAATATAAAAATTATACAACATATCTCTACTCTGTTTTGTTTGCCACTGTCTTCTTCATCTGAGTATTCGGTTGCCCATAATCTCTCATCTGCTGCTTCAATTCACCTCCTCCGTGCCATCTTTGCACCCACGACCCACTCGTCGCTACCCATTTGCATTCCGCCCGTGCGATGGCCTGCATTGCAAGCGGTGTCCTTCTACGGGCTCCTCAACGTATGCCCGAGATATCAGTATTTTGGTTAGTAGCCAATCAGAGTTGGTTGTTGTTAATTCTTCCTGATTAATCATTTTATCTTCTGTATGCAACCAGCACATTGGGTAGCTGTTGATAAAAGTCTTTGCCTTGTTGGAAACCCTTTTCATGACTTACCAAGTTTCTTACCCAGAAGAAAGCGCTAACTGACTGACTTCACAATTGTGTTGAAAATGCAAATATTTTCTTTTACGCTTGCTGAGTGAAGTAGAAGACTTTCAAACTCGATTCAGATTGATGAAAGCGTATCTTGCTCTTCCGACTCTCACTGGTTTTGACATCTTCATCCGTTCTGCCTGTGGTTTAATGAAATTGTACTCTACAAAATATTATCACTCAAGTCCAAGGCATCTAAATCCTCAGATAGTTATATATTAAAACAGCCAATTACCGATTAAACATGTCTAGGAAACCAGTCAGTTAGGTTACCTGAATGACATCAAGCTCGCTTCCGGTTGGCTTCAACCAGAAATAACTCTCATGATTGCTATGTGACCAAATATCGTGATCTATGTGAGATATGGTCAGACTACATTGCCTCAACTAGTGAAGGGTGAATATAACACTCACAACTGCTCAAAGATATATTTATAAATGGTGATACAAAGATAGTATAGTGATGCGCAACCACACCACAATGCAGTTGCCGAGATCTTTTCCCTTAATAATCCATTTGTCTACGGCGTGTTTCAATCAACATGGACAAACAAAATTGATCATCGAAGGTGAAACGATTGAAACTCAGTTGATTTGAGGAAGTTCTCTGATTCTCTGCACATATCCTTCTGACGCATATACATACTACTGATGATCGCCTTGTGAACTCTTAACTCCATTTTTAAATAAAACTTTATTTCAGTTGTTTTAAAACTCATTTTCACTTCAGACAAATGGTTTCCGTTTCGACAATAACTTAACTCTGGGATTAAAATTGACTTTGAACGATGTAGTAACATTTCCTGGTAGTAAAACAGAGGCAAATCTAACTATCATCGGTGAGCTAGTTTGTCTAATCTACAATCGTAATCCAACCACAATGAATGCTTGTAAAACTTCATCGGTGAGGAGAATTATGAAAAGTGTTGTCGTAAAGGTTAGAAGGTCAACAACTGAGGAAACAGGTAAGTGAAAGTCTATACTCAGGATAACATTTCCGCAACTGTCCTGTTACACATTTACTTTCTATAAATTCTATATTCTTATCCCCTTAAAGTTAACTTTTTACGCTTCAAAATATTTCTGATATAATGCATAATCTATGAGTCAGAAGTGTGGACTATGCGCTCAGAGAGATCATTCTCTTCTATTAATAAATCCAGATTGTAGGATTTATGGGGATTCTGGATAAGTTCCGACAGTTAGATTTTTGTCATCAGCCAACATCAGTTAGAGAGATCATTGGAAGCCAATTAAAAGCAATAGCAAGTTATTTTGCCCTACTTTGAGACTATTTAGCAATGTGCACCAACGATTGCTCTAGGGATCGAACCCGGGACCTTCACGTTACCGTAACAAGCATGCTGAAAACTATTCGGCCACTTAAGATGATGGAGTTTAACTATCTGTGAATTCTAACTTCCTCCATCAACTCGTGATATAGTGCCGCCCTTGCCCAGGCCTTCTATGAAAATACAGTTCACTTTGACATAAATGACCCAGCTGTCTAAAACATCTCAATACAGCTTCAGGAAATACATTCAATAGTCACTGAAGTCTAGTCCAAGTGGCTGGATGGTCAGCAGGCTTGATCTTGTAACCCAGAAGTCCACAGTGTTCCATCCCTAGGGGAATCGTAGGTTATCACTTCTGAAGAATCCCAAAACAAGATGAAGCGTCACTCCAGTACTCCGGACCAGTTTCAGTGATCTGTCTAACCGATGTTGGTTCATGACGAAAGTCTAACAATTGAAAATAAGCTATTGGTTTTGTATCTATTCATCCTTTTCTTGTTTGTATCTGTTCTGAGTTGCATTATGGCACTACTATGCCTATTATACTGAGGCGTATTGATTATTACTGGAGAGATTTTGCACATATCGATAGGAGCCACACTTCACTCCATTGTATCTTGTTTCAACCGTAAATTCATGTCTTTGAAGAACCATTTGCAATTACGTTCATTTCGGAATAATGTTAGCTCGGTGTGTTTCGAAGGGACATATAAGTACGGGAGTTGGAGCATATTTCGGATTTGACGAAATTCCGTCTCTTAATATAAACACAGTAGGTTACCATTTTTCACAAAGATTTTCAGTAAGCAGTAGATAAAGCCAGGCTGAAATTTCTGCGTTGTATACAAACATGTTCGGAATAAAGCTAACATTATTATTAACAAATGAATAGCAGAATTTTATACATTTGAACCCCTTGACAAAATTCAATAAAGAAAGGAAGATGAAATTCGCAGTATTAAATCATATCATCATTCTATTTTACAGGTTCTTATCAGCCCCACACCACTACATGAACTTACAATGATTATATAGATGATGATAATAACACATTTTAATGTTTAGGTAGTTGTAGAGAAGAAATACTATAACACTGACGCATCCAAAATGAAAGCAGCATTACAATTTTCAGTTTAAGTTTTCATCATCATTTATACACTTTCAAAGTAGAAAAGAGGTGGAAGGAGTAAGACAGAAATGAGAAAAAATTAACAAATAGTGTTAGCCTCTAGGTTCACATAGCAACTAAAACAAAAGCGGTTGGAATTAATAAGATTGAGATTTGTTCAGTGAGTTGAGATCACAGAATTAGATGACTAATTAATGTAATCCGAATCAGAATTCGGTTACCAAGGGAGTGAGAGATTAATCACACTCTTTCTGCATTCACAGGTCTGGTTTAAAACGTTTGATTGTGATCCATTTGGTAAATCGTAGTAAATTCGCTGTCCTTCTTCTATTTAGTATTTTGAAGGACTTAGAAATCTCTACAAGATGTCCGACATCAACAATATGTCTGGTAATTGCACTCTGAGAATGTTTGCTTCCTTTCAGGCACATGTTTCTTGGAATGTGTTCAGAAAACTGGATAGAAGTCCTTCTTTTCTGTATTTTCTGTCTTATTCCTCTCCCCTCTTTTCTACTTTGAAAGCGTATAAATTGATGATGAAAACTTTACGTAAAAGTTTTAATGCTTACTTTTTGAATGCGTCAGTTTCATAGTATATCTTCTCTACTGCCTACCACTTAAAGTATGTTATAATCAGTCTATATAACGATTGTAATTTTAGGTAGTCAGCAGATGATGAGAACCTGTGAAATAGAATGATGATATCATTTTATACTGCAAACTTCGTCTTCCTTCCTAAATCGACATAGCAGAATTTATTAATTTGTTAGAAAAGATACTTTCATTGAGAACTTCACGTACTTTGGATTCTGTTAGAAAGTGTTAACCTACATTACTAGAGGTTCTTTATACAGATCAATCAAAGTGATTGAATTATATAGGGTCTCTAGCTGCAGCACTAGGTGACCGATCGGCAAAGCTCAGAAGAGACAAGTGTGTCGCGAGAGAAACCGACATCTTTGTCCTACTGTATATCCAAATGAAACTTCCTTGAGGGACGCCTAGTTACAAAATGCTACAAACACAGCGAAAAGATGGCTATTCATAGATTGATCATTGTGGTTCTAATCATCGACAGTAACATCTAAAACTCAAAATTATCTCAGCAATACCAGTGGGCAGTTATACAAGAGAAGTATTGTAAAACAAGATTACATGACTGAATTTCATTCGTAAGGAGTATCTGCGGGTCAAGAAAAGTGCTCCCTAAAAGTTGTGATCAAAAACCTGTCTACAAGACTCCCATACCAATGCTTCTCGTAGACAGTAGTCCAATTTCTGAATGATCTGAGTTAACTCAAACAAAATCACATTGTAAGATAACACATTATCAATGAATTGCACAACCACAAATAGATGAAACAGGAACAAAGATAAACAGAGAGGATCAAATCAACATGTGATATGCAAATGTCATAAGAATTATAAACAGTCTGAGAGAAAAATGGATAATAATTACAAAGTTGTCACATCTAAGCAGGCAATGAAGGTTAATAAAGCAGGATTTAATGAATTCATCAAATTTTTGGGACCACTTTTCGCAGACTTATTCTTGTCATGCTTAGAAACAGGTACCTTGAAGCAACATATACAAGAAATGGATGTATACCTTAGATATGTTGATGACATTTTTATTGTCTGTGGAAGCAGCTCAAAAGTCGAAGACATGTTGATAAAATTGAACTCATGCCATCCAAATCTGAATTTTTCTGTAGAACACGGGTAAAACAACACTATGGAATTTTAGACGTTTTTCTAGTGTAAAAGAGTGATGGCACAATCGAAAGATCTATATTTAGAAAGTCTTCACAGACAGGACAGTACATGCATTTCAAGAGCTTTGTTCCAATCCAGTATAAAAAGAATTTAGTCAGAACACTGTTCAATAGAGCACGAAAAACTTGTTCTGACAGTACTACTGACCATGAAATACAATCTCTGAGGAATATTTTATCTAAAAGTGGATATTCTGAGAGGTTCATTGAGAAATACTCTAAAGAAATTAGCCCCTGCAAAACAATCCAAACAGTTCTGAAGAAGCCTGTCTACAACAGTTTGCCATTTAAAGGAGATGCTGTACAGGAAGTAGTCAAACGAAGACTCAATAAAGCCATCAAGGGAACTTATTATGCTGCAAAACTTGTTATCCTTAACACTAATAAGCGAGTGCTTCAACAATCTGGGAAAGACCAGTCACGAATCCTCGACACTTCAAACTGCGTATATCAGTTCGAGTGTGTTTGTGGAAGTAAATACATAGGTCATACGGAAAGGCGATTGTCTACTCACATGATGGAGCATTCGCCAAAATGGTTACAAACAGCTGAGTGCAAAGTGCCAAAATCCTCATTAACAAAACATCGTGTGGATTACGGACATGATATCGACACAGTCAAGTCATTCACTACTGTCAGCAGACAAAGAAACAAGAAGATGTTTGCAATTGCAGAGGTTTGTGCAATTCGAATTTATAAACCAGGCCTCTGTGTACGAAAGGAGATGGTCGTGACTTTGAATCTACCATGGTAATACGCTTTACTTATTATTCTACCTCATTATTGTTATTATTCTTGATTCATTTAAAACTATCCTTTATCAGTAGGATTATCTTAACTCACTTCAACATTATCATTATTGTTATTATTATTATTACTATTACTTTGCAGTTCTTGTTTTATTCTCTAACGTCTAATTGTTTATCTACGTGATATAATTGAAGCGTAATGCATTTTATCTTAATTTTAATCCCTTATACACCCTCTCCCATTATCTATATGATATGACCTGTAAAACATTCGCACCTGTCTTTCTGCATGACTAATTCAATGAAGTTTGTTTACTTATCAGTCTTAAATCTCCAAATTTAATTTCAAAAGTATAAATATCCGTGTATGTAGAGTGTTCAGATGACGACTTCTACCGAAATTCGATGAATTCATTTAATCATGCTTTATTAGCCTTTATTGTTTCGTATCGGGAAATAAATCTTTTCAACATCCAAACAGGTGCAAATATTATAATTAGATCAACGAAGAGGAGTTTTCTGAATATAAGTATAAAAACTTGGGCACTGTGGTAGAGTATAACTCCATTATGGATAAGATTGTATTTTGATAAATCACACACAGTGTTGTACAGTTATATTAGCTGATGACGTTTCGAGCACAAACTATTGCTCATAATCATATCAACTTGATATTATTATGAGTTTTCTGAATAACTATTCTGTTACAGTGAGTTCCTTAAAGATCGCAGACACGTCATGCCGATAAGTGTCAACACGCACGAAACCTAGACTCAACGCTTCCCATCGATCGCCTCCAACCATCTAGCAGTAATATAAGTTTAATGTGTGCGTGTATATTCTTCTTCAAACTTTGAGATTGAAGCAAGTATTATTATAAGTATTCGTATCCTAATGTTTTATAGGCGCAATCTGTGAAGAAAATCTTGGCCTATCTAACACTCAGGTGATTCAACCATGCCAGATCACCCCATTTGTAGCACTTTATACTGGTTTCATGAAAGAAGAAATAAGGCCAACTTCAACTGTTGGATTCAAACCATTTTTACGTCCGGGACCTTTCAAAATATTACGTTATGTCAGTATTTTATTCGGAAGACAAACAAATATTAGTCGAATAGACGTTAGCATGAAAATGCTGACTAACAAAATTCAAAAATTGATTCTAATGGGGACTAATGATGGTAAAGCGTTTTTCAGTGTTAGAACAGTAAGTTTATATAACGTGATTTCTGTTTCCTTATATCCTTTCTGCACAAATTTTTAAAACTATTCCAAACAAATAGTAAGAACGAGAAACAGCTTTTTCCAGAGAAGAAATATTTCCCGTGTGTAACTTTATTTTTGAGCTGTACAGTTGCACTCATACTTCAGAAAAAGGCACTAGATGTCACGCTAAATATCTCTGCCAAATTTAGCCGTTTATGATGAACACATTTCGAGGATGGAAGTGTTTGCAACGGTTTTCTTTAAAGACCAAATTATTCAGATCACAGGATGCGATCTGCTCGATACAAAAAATGGCACTAAACAAACCAAAGGTAAATGCATAAAACTACATATTACTTATCGACCGATTAAGGTGATTATTCGTTCACCACTCATATCAACCAGTAGTGTTTGGTAGCCAAACAGAAGTAATCGAAACACTGAATGGTTGTTCAGCCCGTCTGATTACTATTTGTGGTATCAAGCAGAACACATAATGCGACCTGAATAATTTGAGTTTCTGAAGGAAACTGTAGTGAAATTCCACCTACGGGAAATCTCCTGGGATTTTCTTTAACTTTACAGTCGCATTTATATGGAATTTCTCATTGTGGAAGTGCAAATTAAGGAAGGAATAAATCATCATAAGAATAGTTACTATTACTAACAAATACAAATGATATGTTCAATAAGGGTGATAGAATTATTATTATATCCCTTAATTCTTAGAGGAACATAGGACTTCAGCTGCGCGTCTCCATTGCCGTCGGTTTTCTGTCAACTTTTTTCACACCGCTTTAAGTCTGCACACATGTTTTCATCTCCTCTTCACATGACCTCCTCCAAGTCACCCTCGCACTGACGACCAACTCGCCGCTTCCCTTTTGCATTCCACTCGAGCAATAGCTTGTCTAGTGATGTCACTTGCTGGTTTCCTCAGAGTATGGCCAGTCCATCTCCATTTCTTCCTGCCTATTTGTTTCACAATCGGTTCCAGGTTGGTTCGCTCATTGCCAGAGATCCCTGTTGCTGATCTTTTCTGACCGGCCATCTGATCTTGAGTATTGAGAGAAGACAGCTGTTAATGAAGGTCTGAAATTTGTTTGAGATGCTCTTTATGACGCCCAGTGCAAGTCCCTGATCCGTATAGTAGCACTAACTTCACATTGGATTTGAAAATCCGGATCTTATTTTTGATGCTGAGTGCTATTGGTCTCCACACATACTTAAGAGTGATGAAAGCTTGTCTTGCTTTTCGGATTCTGGCTTTGATATCCTCGTCAGTCCCACCTGTAGTCGAAACGATGCTTCCCAGGTAGGTAGGTAAAGCGGGTTGTTTCTTTCAGATTCCTCCCATTAATGCTAGCTGATTTTTGTCTGTTGCTGTTGCTGTTAATGTTGGCCAGGAATCTTCATCACCTCTGTTTTATCTAAGTTCACTTGAAGTCCTATCTTTGATGCTCCTTCTGCCAGCTTGTTGCTTTTCACTTGCATACCTTCCAGTTTGTGGGAAATCAGACATATATTATCGGCGAATGATACAATGAGATAAATAAATCAGTAATTAAGTTGCAGTCGGGGTGCACTTAGTGATGTCCTGAAGGGAGAATTCCGGCTTCTTTAAGGAAACTTTTACTTACAGAAACGTTAAGAGTAATGTTCTCTAGTCATCCACTGGTCTGGAAAAGCTTTAAGTATGAGATCTTGCATCTGTACATTTCCACCAGTTCTGATGCAGCCAGGTACATTGATCTTTTGACTCGAATTGTGTCTAAAAAGGAGTTCGAGAATAATATCCCGTATGGTTGTAGAAAGGTAGCTGTGGTTCTATAAAAATTTCAATAACTGAACACTTTGTAGACACTGGCCACTCTATCTCAAAATACTCCTGCTCTGAAGTGATCTACCTCATTGAATAAGTGTGTTGTAATCACGGTGCAAACAGAAACAAATGAAATTTTACGGTGCCTAAAAGTTTGAGAGGAAAGTTTAATCACAAAAGATCAGAGATATAAAATAAGTAGGGCTTTTAGGTTGAAAGAAATTATAGGATCCTTACTACGATAATAGAAGTGGGTGAAAGATTTTATATGGTATGTACAGCTCCATTTTCTCTACTGGAAAGCTGGAGCTTTAACAATACAAAGAAGACATAAGCAGATCGCCTTAGGTAGACTGCTTTTAACCTTATAGATAACCTCAAAGCAGGAGAATTTAGGGATAGAGTGGCCAGTGTCTACGAAGTGTTCAGTCATTGAAATTCTTAGACAGCTTCAGCTACCTATCCGTAATCATGCAGGATAGCATTCTCAAACCCGTTTTAGACATGATCTGAGTCGAACGATCAATATATCTGGCTCCACCAGAACAGGTGGACTGATTTATGCGCATGGAAGTGGTCAGATGCAAGATCTCATACTTAGGGCTTTTTCAGACCAGTGGACGACTAGAGAACTCTACACCTAAAGTTGTTGCAGGCAAAATATTTCTTGAAGAAGCAAAAATTGTCTTCTTATGCGTGTCGCTGAGTAGGTAATCTTTGAAGTCAAGGTTAAAGTTTCTTTTTTTGGAAAGGATGACGCCTCTTATCTTTGTATTTTTTTCTTGGTGTTCTTTTCAACAAATCTTAGCGGATTTAAGTTAGCCATGAAGATTTTCTTCAAAAGTATAATTGTTTTTCCAGAGCATCAGGGCTGGAGATGAATTGGACGCAAGTGGCAAGAGATATATTTATGTTCATCTTACGTTCCATTGATACCCAGCCGTAGAAACATGTCAGTTGGCCGTTCCATATGGGTTTTGTTAAAGTTATGTTGGCTATTCTTGTAGTTTCAACACCAACAGAAGGAATTTTAGATTAGTTTTCTTCTTCAAGAGTTGCTCAATGACAGTTGCTAAATATCTGTAAAGATTGATTAAGACCATAACTATCAACACAAATAATAAAAGCGACATCCACATATCCAGCGTACAGTTGAAGATTGTCGATAATTGACGTAATTTGACCAATTCTGAGGCTTTCCATAAAACAGTAGGCTAGCACGGGACCCCAATAGAGATCTCGAAGTAATCCCCTCTTTTTGCTTGCAAATGAATCCGCTGAACGTGAACTGTACACTGTGGGTACAACTTAATAGTAGTTACTGTTCACTCTTTTCAAATTATAGAAAGAACACTAATGTTCTTTTGTCGTTCCTTAAGTTTCCGATGGTATTGTTTCCACGGAAAAGGGCTGATAGCCTCAATCCTAACCTTCCCTTTGTTATGACTTTAATGCCCTTTTGTTAACTAAACGAAGTCTAAATGTGTGTCTGTTGGGAGTCAGACGTGAACCGCGTGAGTGGTTTGTAGGCATTTTATCACTGAACCAAGCGGCACGTCACGTTTTCTTGTCTATTCCAGGATAACTGTAAATCATCAATAACTACGGAATACTCTTGAATTAATTAATAATCTTCCTTCCAGTTCTCTACCAACAGAAACTGGTGTACCTCAAGCTGCCGTAATCTCTCCATTCCTTTTTCTTTCTTTTTCCATGACCACCCATATTTTTCCAAAGCTAACTTCATTAAGTATTCATTATAATAGAGGTTTTTGTATTTCCCAATGAATGAAAAAACAAAACGAGATTGTTTTTACTGACGTTTCGCTATTTAATGCTAATAGCTTTCTCAAAGTATAATTAAACCGGTATTTACAAAATCTCAGCACATATGCAACAAAGAGATAGGGGTGAGAAAAATATAGACATAGTTCAACTTAAAAGGACATATTGAAATTCAAAATAACTATGAAGACCGTTCAAACCAAATATCAAAGGTAATAGTATATCTGTTATTATATTAAAATAAAGTTTACTAATTGATATCAGTTAGAGAACCATTGAAAACCAGGGAGTACTGGACAGCTGCTGTTTCATCCTAGTTTGGGAATCATCGGCAGTACGCACCCACTGGGATTCGAACCCGGGACCTTCCGGTTACAAGGCAAGCTCGTATACCATTCAGCCACTGGGACCCGATTCAATGGCTCGTGAATTCTAACTTCTACTAATTCGTGATTAAGCGCAACCCAACCATTGTCGTTGGTGGGACATCCATCCACACACGTGACATCTAATTGGACCTCACTGGTCACGACTTCTCACTAGAACTCAGGAAACTCCAACCTGTAGCAAGTCACTAGCGAGCATCAGATCAACTTTCTATAGTTTGGTTTGTAAGGATTAGTTATGTTTTACGGGTTGATCACGGATTGATATCAGTTAGAGAACCATTGAAAACCAGGGAGTACTGGACAGCTGCTGTTTCATCCTACGCACCCACTGGGTGCGTACTGCCGATGATTCCCAAACTAGGATGAAACAGCAGCTGTCCAGTACTCCCTGGTTTTCAATGGTTCTCTAACTGATATCAATCCGTGATCAACCCGTAAAACATAACTAATCCTTACAAACCAAACTATAGAAAGTTGATCTGATGCTCGCTAGTGACTTGCTACAGGTTGGAGTTTCCTGAGTTCTAGTGAGAAGTCGTGACCAGTGAGGTCCAATTAGATGTCACGTGTGTGGATGGATGTCCCACCAACGACAATGGTTGGGTTGCGCTTAATCACGAATTAGTAGAAGTTAGAATTCACGAGCCATTGAATCGGGTCCCAGTGGCTGAATGGTATACGAGCTTGCCTTGTAACCGGAAGGTCCCGGGTTCGAATCCCAGTGGGTGCGTACTGCCGATGATTCCCAAACTAGGATGAAACAGCAGCTGTCCAGTACTCCCTGGTTTTCAATGGTTCTCTAACTGATATCAATCCGTGATCAAGCCGTAAAACATAACTAATCCTTACAAACCAAACTATATAAAGTTTACTAAGTTGATCATATTTCGTTAGTCTTTGGTCATCTTTGGTTGTTAAGTTGGAGAATAGGTAAATGTAACCAAACTTAGTATAGATTGTGAAATACTTGATCATCGTTCGTTAGTCTAAGGTCATCTTTGGTTGTCAAGTTGTCATGGTTGTCTTTAAGTATGCCTACAATCTAACCATTTCTGTCCCAGTAATTTCTGCTTTGGATAGTTCTTATATGAATAGATTCTTGTCTAAAGTTAACTAATGGTCTCCTCCAAATGGTTCTAAACTAAATATCACATTGTTGATTTCAGTTTCAGATGCGACTGGGACTTGCGTGGGCTGATTCAATCGTGTGATTAATGTAATATTGACGGTTGTTCTGATAGAGAGTAGGTCGAATAGCTTCTATCTCAGCATCAGTTTCCCTCATGTCCCCTGTTGGTCATCTCACATCCTGTTGAGAAAATATTTCGTTTAACTTAGAGAACATAGAGAAACTAAGACCTTATGGAATAACTGAACCTCTTCTCTTACAATTTATCAATTCATGTAATCTGCCCATTTCTCTATACTGTCCCTACCCACTTACTCTTCCCTGGGATTCCCCAAACAGATTATGTCGTGTTAGGTAGAACACTGAAGATTGTAATTAGGGTTAGTGGTGTGCCTTTGACTCAACTAACTGACATTATTGTCATTAGGCACTTCATTTCTCGCGAGCATTCAACTAAAGTCATCTTCTCCGATACTGAACATTCTCTTTACTCTAAACTTTTGCTTTTATATCTTCAGGTAAAAGCAGAGCATACGTCATAAGAATTTACCTTCGTACAGCTAATAAATACAAAAATTCTACCATAACATATTTAGCACGCGCTTTTGTGTGGCGACTCAGATGTCTGAAATGAACTTATAAGCCTTTAAAATCAGTAACTGAATTGCCAACTATAAGCAGAGAATATTATCATATTTATTAGGTATGATATCATCTATCTATAACGCATTGTGTTTTCACCAACATTCAGATATTCATGGTTATTTTAGATCTTTTGCATGTGCATATTTATAAAAGGAGCCAAATTGTTTAAATGTGTATAAAAAGGCTGAATATTCCATCCTGTTTAATTGTTATTGTTTTGAAGAAAAGAAAAGAAAAATTCAGCGAAAAAAAACTTTTCCTTATCGACGAAATCACCTTCAGAGGCTGTACAGTGGTATTTATACTTACTCAAAAGTGTATAGTAGTCTATTATTGAGTAATAGGGGGTGACATAATCGATATAATTACTCGAAAGTGGCTTAAGCAGTAAAAAAAATTAAAAGTTGTAAATTACGTGGTACTCAAAAGTACAAAATTAGTAATTTGATAAGAATAAATTTACTGCTGAGTGAGAATAAAGGTGGTAGTTGAGTGTCAGTTTGACAAGTGTGAAGAGGGTGTGAAAATGTGCAAAAGGAACGTGTATGAGAGTGATAATAGTGAATAAATTATTAGAGTAAATGCAAACTAAAAGTTAAATTGGGAATTAAAAAAGAAAATAAAAAATGCAAATGTTTTTACAAGGAATGACTAGTGAAGAGGTTAAGATCGAGATAGAGTAAGAGACTTCCTCCGTATACAGAATTCAGAGTTGTATCAAAGAATTGCCAGCACCTTCGCTTTACACAAAAGCCGAAAACTGTCACCCGTTGTACCATTTGGCTTCACTTTGTAGATGATGTTGAAAGACGACTCTGGTGGAGCTAGGTGGCCTGAGTTCACCAAATGCTCGAGAAATGAGCTAGTAACTGTTTTGCATTGTCCTTTTGCTAACCATGCTGGATAATATTCAGAGATGCGTTTAGAAAGTGTGCGCTACGTGCAGGTGACCAATACAGCTAGCTCCACTGGAGCAGGTGAATTTTTAAACACACATTGAAGCGTCTCAAAGTGGCAGTTTATCCTTCACACATCCGTTAGTCATTTGTCGGCTTTAAAAATTGATACATAGCTCAGCCATAAAGAAGGCTTTCCTCGATGATCTGCATAAGCTGTTTTTCAGGATCTCATCTGCAGTATCACTTTTAAATTCAACGCTCATGAACAGCAGTTTCTTCGTCGCCGTCTGTGTTCTTTCAGGCTTTTCCCATAACTTCATGTTTTTCTCAATAAATCTTGGAGGATATCCTATTACTTAATAATAGAACACCATACATTTTCGGTAAATATAAATACGATTGTACAACCTCTGAAGAAGTTATCGTCTATAAAAATAAAAATTTTCTTCGCAGAATTTGTTTTTTATTTTCTTCATGACTTAACAGGGATTATTGTTTAAAATAAAGTGATCATTATTACTACTTATAAGAGTTTCCATTTGAATATCTCATTCAAAGATTTATTAGGATAAAACTAATTCCTCTGATATTTTACAAATATAAAACAATTTAATATTCAATTTTTTCGCACTTTACAGGTGACAGTCTCCTACAAAAATACAACTTATGGACAAATACTTCTTAGGCCTTATTTTGTTTCAAGGGGAATACGTTTAATTGTTAGTGAAACAGATCGTGAATACATGGACATTTCATTCACACTTGAACTGTACGGGTGCAGATCGGTTCTAGAAACACAAAAATTTGGTAAGTTGTTATGCATTCATCCGGTATTTCATAATCAGTAGTAGTTATAGTAGTAGTATATACCATCCTTCTGTGAGTATTAACATAGTGTTTCAGGGTATGCAAAAAATTACCTCATGACTGTTCAGTTTTCATGTGCAATAGTCATGAGATTGCTGTACTTCATGAGGACATCTCCCCAGCTTACGTCCAATCCACCTCTTTTTCTTTCTTCATATCATTTGGGAGAAGTAGCTTCCAGATAGATCCACTGCCAGAGTTCCTTATTGCTAAGTTTTATTCCAGGTGGCCTTGTGATTCCCCTTATCGTACAAAGACGTATGCTGATAAAGTCTGAAAATTGTTCACACGTATACAAACAGTGATACACTACTTGTTTTCAAACTACATACCATCTCACATTACTATTCCCTTGGATTAGAAGTCAAACATAGGGATTCAGTAGCATATCTCCATTTAACCCTGTTTTTGAAATCATTTTTTATCTGGCCTTATGATTGCCGATTGTGTCTCATCACCTCCTCACACAATCTCCTCCATGTCACCTTCGAACCCACCAGGATTCCACAAGAGGGTCGTCATTGAGTGTGACGTTACTCAGCGATTTACTCAGTGTGTGCCTTTCATCTATCTTTATCTTCTTTAGAATATTTATTGGGTAGTTAGTTCGTTTCAAGAGTTTCTTGTCACCGATCTGATCTGTTGCAAGAAGCCAGCAGAGGCAACCGTTTATGACAGTATATCATTGCCTTTTCAAAATGCTTTTTGTGACGTACACTGCAAGTTTCTGACGCATATTGTAGCAATAACTAACTGACTTTACATGAGCAGTGAAAATCCGAATTTTGTTGTTTATGCTGACAGCTGTAGATTCCCACGCTTATTTCAAAATGGTGAAGGTCTCGATTGCCGTTCCTCCCATGGATGGTTTTAACATCACTATCCGTGGTGTCAACTGTAGTTGAAATGATGCTGCCTAGATAAGTGAAGAAATTGACCTCATTCAAATTTCTCTCACTGATGGTGATTTGAGAGTGTTGGTGGTGGTCCTTTGGTTATCTTCAATACCCTGTCTTCTCTATATTCACCTTAAATCCTGTCTTCACTACCTGCTTCTTCTGTCAGCTTGTTTGATTTTTGTCTGTGAGTTTGAGCCTATGTGACATCAGGCATAAATGGTTCGTGCAGTTCTAATCTTCAAGAATCTTCCTCTCTGTCCAACGCATTTCTGTCTTCTCGCTTCCCATGCACAGTATGCCAAATAATCCAACTCACAAAACTTGAAAATATCAGGGGTGACAGTAGTCAGCCTTGTCCTTCTGCTCTCTTCACTTCAAGAGCTTCACTTAGCTTTCCTCTGTGGAACAAATCAAGTGTAGTCTTGTCAAATAGCTGTTTTTAGTGAGATTAATAAAGACTTGGGGCACTCTGTAATGTTAGGGTAGTTTCCAAATAGGCGATCAACACCAGGAGTATTCGAAGTAGGTTGAAAAAACACATAATTCCATTATGGGTAAATTTTGTTTTGATGAAGTCTCACAGTGTGTTATACAGTAATGTTTACTGATGACATTTCAAGCACAATTTATTGCTCATAGCCATATCAAGTTACTCACACGACTTCCTAACTTCATTTATGTAGTTCAATTATTTTTCACTTGATTTTCGCCTTGATTTGATTGGTAGTAGTATTTTCCGTATTTCGGGTATGAATGATGAATCATTTCTATTGCATGTGTTTGGTGTAGACTCGATGAACAAGGATTCAGTAATCAACCTCTCTCTCCACCTACCTACTACATAGGTCAAACTTGTAGGTCGGGGGTAGTCAGATGGTCAGAACATAAGAATTTAGATAAAGTAAGAATAGTTGACCCTGAAAAGATAAGTAACTTAGAAAACAGCTCAACAATTGCAATGCATGCATTAACACACAACCACACTGTACCATGGTGCGAGAGGGTTAAAATTCTAAAACGTAATCTAGATAGGTGGAGAGAGAGAGGTTGATTACTGAATCCTTGTTCATCGAGTCTACACCAAACACATGCAATACGAATGATTCATCACTCATACCTGAAATACGGAAAATACTACTGCCAATCAAATCAAGGCGAAAATCAAGTGAAAAATAATTGAACTACATAAATGAAGTTAGGAAGTCGTGTGAGTAACTTGATATGGCTATGAGCAATAAATTGTGCTTGAAATGTCATCAGTAAACATTACTGTATAACACACTGTGAGACTTCATCAAAACAAAATTTACCCATAATGGAATTACACTCTTCCACAGTGCATAAGTTTTATTCTTATATCAATGAAAAAACAAATAATCTTCAAGCATCCTTGACGAAGCCAACATTTCAAATTAACTGTTCGATAAAATTAAGACGAAATTCCACTCGTAGTTTGGTTATACTTGGCAAACCGAATGAGCATATTTGCATAAAATATACTACTAACTGACTGATATATAAGTAGTTTTATATCACTCAATCAGGAGGTGCTTGCCACTAAGCCAGATCTAGGTGATCTAAACACCAGACAGTTGTTGATATGAGTGGCCCACGACTACTAATCTGATCAATCAATAGTATATTGCTTTTTTATGGAAATATGCTTGGTTTCTGGGTTACTATTCATGGTATCAAGCAGATAACATACTGCGATCTGGATAATTTGGTCTCCAGACAAGAGTGTGCTGAAGATATCACCCCTTGAACTGTGTACACCGCGAATAGCTAACTAGTTTGCAAATTGTGAAACAGAGTAGGCTTAGAATACCGGAAAAAGGCGTGGCTCACTCAGAAAGTGCAAATTTACGATATTAGAATATATATATACTATAAAAATTAAACAGCCTAATGAGTATATATGCACTGAGTAATGAGATTGAAATGTTGGCATAACTTGGCTTCATATTGTGCTATTTTTCAGACATTTCACTTCTAATGACTGAGACTACTACGTAGGAATGTATACTTATTGTTTTTGTCTAGTCAATGACATTTTACGACATAATCTGACTGTCCTCCTCCTAATCGGCTTACTACATACATTTCAAATATTTGTGTTATTATTATTGATTTTTATTTATTTCTTTCCTCTTAAATTCCTACTCGAACATAGACCTTCATGCTTGAGTTTTGAAGCCCTATTATCAGTGGTATTAAGTGTTTATGGGATGGAGTTGCTCTGGCTCCACCTCAACCCTCCTTCTTTGCTGAGATTACCAGTGGCTAACTAGAACTGAACACTGCTCCTGCCAGAGATCGAACCTTGAACCGACTGAAGCGTCTTTGGCGAGTGTTCTACCACTGAAGCACAGATAGAAATTTGTGTTACTTATGTAGACATAAAAGTAGCCTTAAGGATATCTCATTTTTTGAAAGCAGATATTGTAAACGGACAACCAGAATTCCATCTACAATTTTATAGTAACTTTATTTTTTCTTCTTTTATAAATTTTCTTCTGTTACCAGACCCATGTAATCTTAAAAATGTATACGTCGAACAACCGAATACAGGTTTACGCAGAATCCTCTATGTCTCTGGTTACCTGTTCTATTGTGATAAATTCACTACAGAGACACGCTGCTTTGTGACACAAGAGACTTCCAATAGAAAGTGGACAGGTTAGTATTTTATCTCATGATATTGTTTAATGCGGAAATCTCAACTTATGTGTCAGACATAAAATAACAATTGTGTGATTTTAAAACTTAGATTAAGGGATTTTGTATTAATTTCAATTATACGATTTTCTTCGCAAACTAACACTAGTTAGAGTGATCATTGAAAACCAGCCTGCAGTTCTGAATAGCTGCCTACTGCGTCCTGGTTTGAAACTTTTCAAAAGTGAGTATCTATGGCTTCAGCATGCATCGAAACTAGGACCTCTAAATTACGAAAGCAAGCCATTGATCAGTCAGTCATTTGGACCAGTCGAATTCAGTGACCTATGAGCTGTAATTTTGCAAAATCATGATCTAGCGATGCTCTCACCAGTGCATTCAATGAGCGACCACTTCAACCCCACCTAGTGACGCCAGTGGACATGACTTCATACTTCAGTTTCAAGAAATCCACCCAGCAGCCTTAAGGGATTTCGCGATTTATATTCGAAAAATAAGATTTCTGGTGGATCTCGAATTAATTTGAACTGATATAAGCATAAAACTTGGGCACTGCAGTAGATTATAACTCCATTATGGATAAGATTTTATTTTGATAAATCACACAGTGTTGTACAGTAATATTAACTGATGAGGTTTCAAGCACAAACTATTGCCACTCATAGTCATATCAAGGTAATCACTCATACAACTTTTTTTATTCATTTATATACATGTGTGGAATTGATTAGACATTGGAATAAAAATCAATACGAGATAATGTACATTCAGGAATATTAATACGAGTGTTATCGATCAATTACAATCAGATGGGAAATAAGACGAGTGTTTTTATGTCGTAATAAGTTACATGCTAGAATGTTGTGATGTTGGGGTTTGAATTGAAATAGAATTTTAAGATTATTTATTATCCTCTTCTGATTTGGCCGGCAGTAATAATATCTTCCATATTTCTGGTATTTGTATTGAGTCGTTTCTGTTGCATGTGTTGGGTGTAGACTCAATAAACAAGGATTCCGTAATCAACCTCTCTCTCCACTACCTAAATTACTTTTTAGAATTGTAACCCTATCCCACACTATTGTGTGGTTGTATGTTAATGTGTGCAGTGCAATTGCTGGGCTTTTTTCTAAATTACGTAACTTTCCAGGGTCAACCATTCTTCCCTTAGCTAAATTCCTATGTTATGATAATCTGACTAACCCCAACCTACTAGTTTGACCTATGTAGTTGACTTAACTTACAGTCATTGCAGGGTATTTTGTAAATTATATTATTTTATCTAATTTGGTCAACAGGGTCCTTTTACCTACAGAGCTTGTCCTATGTGAGTGAGTTTCTAGGTCTGAATGCCACTCTAATTCCTGATTTATTTAGAATCCTACGTAGGGTCTTAGATGTCCCCTCTTCATATGGTATAACAGTGGATGACTTCTATTCTCTGTTATTTCTGTAATCATTACTAGTCCCACAATTATTTTTTTCTAAATGGAATTAATTTGAATTGTCACATTTTTGTCACGAACCAAATCCAGTCAAAAGCATCATTCAGAACCACTGAAATCATTGAAAGAGTTGAGCAACATAGAAATTTACCCACATCGGGCTAAAAGAGAATCATCTTCAGCTGTAAATAATGCACACTGATCAAATAATGGCTGTAAAAGCTTTGGAAAGAGGTTAATGTGTGGCTTTAGAAGCCTAAACTCATAGGTGTAGAATTCTAGTTTCGATGAGACCTTCACAGAGGATTGGCTTTCCAATCTCAAAGAAGTTAAAAGGTAACTCATAGATTACGCTGGTTGTAGTCACTGAACACCTTATTTGTAAAAGCTTCGAGATCTGTGATGAATCGAGTTAATAGTATTCTCGCTGTTAACTAATCCAAGAAAAAGTGTGTTACGCGAACTTTCGAAATTATTGAAATTTTCACCCCGGAGTAAGGCCATCAGTTTTTCACAACTGTTTGATGAATCATTGAACTCCGTAAAGATCCCAGGTGTGATTTAAGGTTATATATAGAAATAGATAGACGGATGGATTTGACATATGTTGTGGAAACCCTTGAATGAAATCGCTCACAAGGCCTTCGGTTGGAAGCTGGAGGGAGAGTCACTTGTGAAAAAGAGATGAAAGCTTGTGGGCAGTCTTATGGCTATCTACAGAGCTCTACAGATAACAGGATAGAGTGAAGATGTGTTGTTGAAGCCGCATGTACCACGCACAACTTTCAAAAATGTTCTCAGCAATTGCAAATGCTAAAATATAGGCTAAATATATACTTCAACTAATACAAGTGTGATCAAGTAAAAGAAAACAAGAGTTTGACGAAAAGATACCTTTACGACGATTTTATTCTCAATAAGATGGCAACCAGAATTTTTAAACACTTCCGGAAAAGCACCCACTAGTATTATTTGTTCGAACATAAAGACAAAGGTGAAATCAAATAAAGATTATAGGCTTTTCAATTTGATGTGAAAATTTCATTAAAGTGAGAACGACAAAAGGATTATTCACACAAAGTAAGAAAAATCAAAAGTAAACAGGCTTTAAAATAAGGTATGATATGTGAAATAATTTTTTTCAAACATAAAGTGTGACAAATGGTGTGCATATTGCCGTTGATGGTCCAAAGGAGAATAATCTCTAGTCGTGCTGCAGATTCGAGTCCATTATGTGTCCGAAGCATTCCAAAATCCCTCCTAGTTTTCCAGCAGTCAGAAAGCCAGAGAAGAGGGGAGATTGGATGTACTGTAGCAACCGCGTCCCATGATAAACAGTACCAATTCTACCGAAACGTCAAGTCTTCAATCTATATGTGCTGATAGGAATGCGAGGGGAAGAAACTAAACGAAACGATGTTTTGCTGCTGAAGGTGGGAAAAAAAGAAGAAAAACGTTGGAAATTCTATAACAAATGAAAATCAGGACAGAAAGAAATCAAGTTCACGGTTTTTATGATGTCATCACTTTACATGCCACAATAACATCGAGATTAAAATAGGGAAACTGATGTAGACACAGATGAGCTGATCACGAATAACACATGACAACACCAACAAAATTGTATAATGACTACTCGTTTCATAGCTCGCTTTACCTAAGCAAGAATAGTCAATGTAACGAGCCGAGAAGTAGATTACAATTTCAGCCACAGTATTCATTACACAAAAGTGTGTGATTCAAAAAATTATCAAGGATATTTCAATTAGTTTATTACCATGATCAGTAAAATGTGGGCATAATTATACGTATTATTATTATTCCCTTGGGTTCACAGTTGAACACAGCGGTTCAGTAACACATTTCTACTTTCTTCAATTTTCTACCATCCTCTTTAGTTGGGTAGACGATTTTTCAAAATCTCTCTTATCCTCCAATCTCTACACGATCTCTTCCATGTCACCCTAACGCCAACGACCAATTCGTCGCTTCCTGTTTTGATTCCACTCCAGGGCCTGGCGCGCGATATCATTCGACGGTTCCCTCAGTGTATACCCAATCCATCTCTATTTTCTCCTACATATTTGCTAGGACAATTGGCTTTTGGTTGCTTTGTTCATCACCGAAGATTCTTGTCGCTCATTCTATCTGGCCAGCTCGCCATTTCGTCTTCACTATGGAGACAGCGAAGTGGGCAGCTGTTGACAAAAGTCTGCAACCTGTTGGAAATGCTTTAAGTGACGCACAGTACAAGTTTCTGTCCTGTAAAGAAGAACTTATTTAGCACTTGTGTTGAAAATCCGAATCTTGTTCTTCTATATTAACTTAAATTCGCTGACAGCTTCTTTCGCCAGTTTGTCGGTTTTCACCCGTAAGTCTTCGAGTTTCTGTGACATTAAACATATAACATCTGCGAAATCCAGATCTTCTGGAGTCTTCTCATCGGTCATCCAGTGTACTCCTGTCTCCTTCCTCCCCACGCACAGTCTTCCTCACAATCCAGTCCACCACAGTTGAGCATACCATCGGTGAAAACAGGAAATCTTGTCTTACCCTTGTATTCATTTAAAACGCCTCGCTAAGTTTTCCGTTGTGGATCACCTGACACGTGCCACTGTTATAGAGCTAGCTGTTGAATGGGGTTGATAAAGACTTGAGCATTGCACTCTGTAGCATTGAAGTGGTTTCCAAATTACTTCTCGGTCAATGCTATCTGGTGATAGCATTTTTGAACTCTATGAAGTTTAGATACATGTTTGACCTCTTTGTTCGATAGCGATCATGCGTTTCCAGTCATCTGCGCCTTATTCAACTTACAGTTTTTTACTATATTGTAGCAGAAATATCTCCTGTAGTTACGTGGCCAGTTATGTTGATATCGTGTTTCTATTTAAGACTTTTTTTAATCTAAAAATTGTAAACATCGTCTTTTCTTGGGGATATCCCTTGAGTTATCCCACAAACAGTCGACCCTTTTAACAGACTACGTCATTCTGGACTTAAAGTATTTGTACTTTCAAGATATGCTTTATAGGGTTTGAATATGGATTGATGCCAGTCGGAGAACCATCGAGAACCAGGGAGTACTTGTCAACTGTGTCGTCCTAACTTCGGATTATTCCGCAGTACGTACAAAATAACTCCACTGAAGGTCAAATCAACGACTCACCGGTTACGAAGAAAGGCCGTTGACCATTCAGCACACTGGGACTGAATCGAATGACCCAAAAATCCCAATTAGCACCAATTCGTGATTTTAGCGCGACTACCAACCACCGTCATCTGTCAGTGTCGGTTTTCAACCCTTAGCCAAGTGACCCCATTGGTCATGACTTCTCATTAGAAGCCCCGGCAACTTCGTACGATTTCCAGTCAATAGCGAGTGTCAGATTAATCTTCAGGAGTTATTTTGTAGGAATTTGATTTGGTGATGATAATTTGAAATCATTAGAGAACCAGTGAAAACCGATGAGGAATACTGGACAATTGTTTCGTCCTTTTTTAAGACTCTTCTTCAGCGCTCACACTTCTCATCACATTCCTTCATTCTTAGTAAAAATTCTCTTTTCCTTTCTGTTCATAGACATGGGACCACATGTTACAAGAATTCTAAGCTATATAAATCCACAGAATATTTTAATTGCTCAAGGTTCAGGTCATAACAATATATTAATAAGTAATGACTATGGGAAGAAATGGAATTCAACGAATTTTCGTACACAAGGAAATTTAATCAAGAATTCAATATCTCAAATTAATGCAACTTTAATATCTTGGACTATGAACGCTGGAAAATTTGATCAGAATATTATCGGCACCTCGTGTCAACTGTTTCAACAAGGTTCATTTAAATGTAAGTTCATTATTCACCTCTACAGAATTTAACTACTACCCATACTTGGTTTTTCAGCTGCAAAAGTGAACAGAGCTCTTACTGTTCATCATCTGAAGCTGTTATGAGCGATTTGGGAGCTGGATACTGCAAAAGAATAAAATCAGTAGCGATAAAAAAATCAATAATTCAAGACAATTAGTCTTTTTAATAAATTACGATGGCTGCGTCAAACTACATACCACTTATTGATTGAAATGAGTTTTTGTACACCACTCATTTAAACCAATGCTGCTTACTAGCCAGATCGAGGCGACCTAAACACCAGATGACAGATTCGCTCATTTTGAACGAGCTCATCAGTGGTTTATATAACTTCACTAGGCTCAAAGGGCTAAATCAGTTGAAGCCACCTGATTTCTGGCTGTCTTTTCGTGCCAACTAGTATTACCATAGACCAAATCTGTAGTCTGAAAATTAATTTCCACTTTACATAGTTCGTGGAAATGACATTTCACCAAAGCTTCGTCTCTTAAAGACTGAAATTATTCAGATTACATTACGTGATCTGCCACAAGCTAGTGGTTTGAATCAGTTTAGCTCTGTGAGCCAAATTGGACCAGGAACCATGCTGGTGAACTCTATGGAAGATGAGCGAAATGGATAGCCGAGGTTTAGGTAGTTTCCATCCGGCTAGCAAGCAGTATTGGGTGAGTTGTGTGGTAGACAACCACTCATCTCAGTCAATCAGTAGTGCATAGTTTTACGTAATTATATTTACTTACTGATCACTGCTATTAGTATCAAGCAGATCACATTTTGTGATCTGATCAATTTTAGTTTTTCAACGCACACTGTGGTGAAGTCTCACATCGAACTGTATAAGTTACAAAGTGCGAATTGCGAATATGATTTTAATTTAGTTAGCGTTATTAGAAGGCAGAGTTTTTATTTGAAAAATGCCGTATTATTTATTTACAATGTTTACATTTTAAACAATTCGAGAACACACTTTTACTTATCAGATCAATTTATACAAAAAATGAAAGGCAAATTAAAATAAACAAATTGATAAAGTTTTCAGGTATTGGTTTTGTAATGATTTTGTCTGATTGGTTGGAAGATTTCACCATGAGCTGACATCAGTTAGAGAACGATTAAAAAATCTGGAGGTACTGGACGGCTGTTTTGTCCAAGATTTTGGGAACCTTTGGCAGTAAGCAGCCACTGGGATTCGAACCCAGGACCTCCCGGTTACAAGGTTACGAGCTTGCCTTGTAACATTACAAACCAAACTATAGGAAATTGATCTGATTCTCGCTGGTGACTTGCTACAGGATGGAGTTTCCTGGAGTCCTAGTGAGAAGTCGTGACCAGTGAGGTACATCAAGATGTCAAGTGTGAGGATGGATTTCCCCCCGACGACATTGGTTGGGATCGCGCTAAATCACGAATCGGTAGAAGTTAGAATTCATGTGCCATTGAATCGGGTCCCAGTGGCATAATTTTATGCGAGCTTGCCTTATAACCGGAAGGTCCTTGGATCGAACCCCAGTTGGTACTTACTACCGGTGATTCCCAAAAACTGGGATGAAACGGCTGTCCAGTACTCTGAGCTGGTTTTCAATGGTTCTCTAACTGATATCAATCTGTGATCAACTCGTGAAAACAAAACTAACCCTTACAAACCAAACTATAGAAAATTACCAATGTAAGTTAAGGATATATCATATACATTTATCAAGATTTGCAGTACAATTTTTTTCAAGCTGGACTACTCTTCACACTGTATTTGTGATCCAGAATTCTCTACATATATGGGGAACCAGATAGGTTAGGAAACGTTGCAGATGTAATCATATTTTAAGAACAATCTCAGATTTTACACAAAAAGTGGAACAGCTAAGAAATTACCAATTGTGGTAGTGCCAAATACGTGGCAGATTTTTGCCAATATGGATCACATAATAAATGAACACTACAACCGAGAATTCAGTAATACAACGCGTATTATAAGTAAACGGAATATTTAAATACCTTCAGAAAAATGAGATTGGTGGTAAATTTACAGATTTTTACTCTATACTGTAACCTATAGCACAACTAACCAGTCTGAACGCGAACTTCCATGAAACAGTAGATGTTCACTTGTAGAGAGTTATTAAGCCCATACATATTTGTAAAAGCCCTAGACTTGGAGAAAGTACTGACAAAGATGACGAAAATGAAATCCTATATTCTTCACGACAGGATCCCTCCAGTCGCTTCACTATACAATTACTCACACTGTCGTCAAACTATATACACAGCACGTATTTCTGTGCAAACGTTAAAAGGAGTAGTGTGACAAGCTTTCAAATGTCGAATGAGACTATTTACTTTTTTCTCTTAAACAACTTGGTTACCTTATTATTTTTCTCTTGGTCTCCAAGTGAAAAATAGGGAGCCAACAGCACCTCTCCATTTCAACCTGCTTTCTACAGCCCTCTTTAGTTGGCTACACGATTACTTATCAGCTTTTGTCTCCTGCTGACATCATCTTCTTTATACCACCCTCACACCCTTGCGTTCCAGTCGATAGATTGTCTGGCGCAGAATGTCACCAGACGGTCTCCTCAGTGTGTGTCCTCGATCCGTCTCCATTTTATTTCACCATATTTTCTAAAGAATATTTTCTTGATTGGTTCTTGCTCAGAGTTGTTTTGCTGTTATTTTTTTCGACCTTCCATCTGATCTTCAGTATGGAGCCAGCGAAGTCAGCTGTTGATGCGAGTCTGTAGTAGTCCGTTGGAAATGCTTTTCGTGATGAGCACTGCAAGTGTTTTACCAATAAAGAGGAACTGACTGACTCAATATTGATGTTGAAAATCAAAATTTGGTTGGTAATGCTGATTGCAGAAGGTTCGCTCACTGAATTCAGTGTTAACTTATGAGTCATCATCTTCGTCATCATCAAATGGTCATAGTGTTACTACTTCACGCTTTTTTCATGTTTTCCTCACTTAGATTGCCACATCAGCGTGCTATGTGAGAGCTGATAGATTTCCGCTTAAAATGTCAATGACCATTTTATTCCCATCATATAGGATAGAAAACGCTAAAAAAATGAAAGCAAATAATATTTCAATTCTTCCAACTAATATCCCTCTCCAGTACCTCACGTACTTTAAGCTTTTGTTCAAGCATTGTTATTTATAGGCGATCGTGGAGCCAGCGCAGAAAGGACTGCAGAGAAGAGAATAAACTGAAGCTGTGCTATTGGAGCCGTAGATTCGACTCGGAACCTAAGGGAACAATAATAATAAAATCTCTTTTATACCCGATTACTTCCATGCTTTTTTCCGTGAAGAACAAACTAAAGCATACTGTCATTCCTCTATTAAATTGGCCTTCTAAGTAAAGCGCTTTTAGCCTTTCTGAACATGTTATAAATCAATTATTCTGGAAGGATTTGAACGGATCAATCAAACTACATGTGGTTGTATGGAAAAATCTACTTTATTTCGTTGTTATCCTATCAAGTGCATATAACCTGAATAACAAAAGCTATTGGTTTCGTTACAGTTTAAAAATACTTTACTTTATGAGAGATAGAATGGGTATTATTTCTTTATATAATTGCTTTGATCTGAAAGAAACCCGTGACCTCACAACAAGAAATTACCAGGCTTTAAAAAATAAAAGTGTGAACCTAATTATTCATCTTGAAGAACACAACACTGATTCATTGTAATGCGTTCAAAATGCTCACGCACTACGGAAACAAACATCGTTTACTTCCTTATTTGTTGCTGGTGCAATTTTGATTTTCCTGCTGATTAATTGAACTTAAACTTTCAGCTTCTGTTGACACGTTGGCTCCTAGTATGATCGTTTTGGCGATGTCTGGGAATCACCTTGAAGAAAATTTGGTGGATAGTGACTAGCAGTGGAATTCGCCAAGATGCGTATTTTGCCCTATTTGTAAGTCACTAGCTGAATGTACCTGGATTCCCAGTAAGTGATGATATTCCTACTGTAAATTGCAAGAATTGACTCTTACAAACTAAGTGGTCTAGTGGATGACACTTTGGCGCTTGAAACGATGAGTATGGGGTCCACGTCTCAGTGGAAACATTGCAACTCACTGGGAATGCAGGCCAATCCAATTGACGAGTGCCAAAGAGGTGAAATTCTCATCCTGGATGTCACCCACCACTAGTCACATCTGGCTTTCTGACAATAAACTGTGTCAGAAACTTTGTCATCCAGTAAGTAGTAATAATAATAACCAGTTGGTTTAGCGATATCCCAACTGCCCTACTAACGGCTTTTAGTGCCCTTCTCAGCAAAGCAAAATCTTTCTTAAGTAGTCCAGAAAAGATTAATGGGGAGCTGTAAAGAGGGATGGGTAGAATACAAGAATCGACAAACTGAGAAAGCAAAGACTGCTTTATACCAGATTGCCTTAACTTCCTGACGTAGAATGTTAAGCAAAACATCTTTCTAGTAACTAGCAAGATGTTCGAGGACCAGGAAAGATCAGAGAAAAAACTCAGCCCAAGGTACTTGACATTAGATGTAATTTCAACCTCTATGCCGTCAATGATAGTGGGGACATGTGAGCTAGCTAGTTTTTGTAGGTCACGTTTACGTCTGAAAGTGAAACTGACTACCTGACATTTAGACGGATTCAGCTTAAGACCATTTGAAGACCATTGACTAATTTCGACAGAAAGTTATTTAATTTGGAACAGTCTAACTGAGAGTTGACAGGCGTAGAAACAAAGAGGTCATCAGCATACTTAACAAAAGTGGCTACATCAGAATGAGGCAAGTCATGTAAGAAAAAAGAAGACAGAAAAGGAGAAAGAACAGCACCTTGGGGAACACCAGCTAAAGTAAGTGAGGTAGTGGAGGACTTTCCATTGTAGATGGTGTACTGCTTCCTATCAGAAAAATAGGAATGCAGCCACTTATTTGTCCAGCTCTCAGTCTGTGTTGCAGCAAGCTTACTTAGCAAGAGAGACCTAGGTACAGAG